TAGAAAAAGGGACGCAGATATTGCGCAATCCGACATTTGGCGGCGAGGAGACTTGGCAAGCAGGCCATTCTGGGCACGAAACAGTATGCAGTAGTGAAATATTGCTCCACTGAGAGCCAAAGACAGTCGAGTCAAAACGTGAGAGACGACGGCCATGTGATATAATCAAAACGTGGCAGACCGAACTCTCACCTTCAGCAGTGCTGGACTTTGGGTGCGCATGATGGCTGGGCTATACACGCATGCAGCCTTCATAAAAGTCACCATTAGACCCTTATCATCACTTCTAGATGCAGTTGGTCTGAAAGTCGGCGAGCAGCATGTCGGCTGTTTTGCCGAAGGGAAGTAGATCTGTCAGCCGTGAATCTCACGCGATCTCCCGCTGAAGGTGACAGTCTCAGGCTCAAGCTATCATATGAAAATTGCAGCCCAGCCTGCCAGGTTTTCGCTTCGAAGCATTTGCCGTATGTTCGTTAAGGTATTTTCGGTAAAGAGTCAGTTGCTAACAGCAGTTAGGCCATAAATCAGGCGGGAACACTACCCCAAACCAACTCCCAACCCCCACAGCTGCTTCACATGCTGACAGAAAATAAGCAATTACGAGTCCCTCTGAACTCAAAACCCCAGACAGCGTTATATCCCGGTTGAACGCTGTTTTAAATGCCTGAAAAAATGTAGCCAACAGAAACAATCCCCAGTAATGTCATCTCATATTAGCGAGCATATTTGCAAACTGTGGACCTCATACCAATTCCTTAATGGTTTAAGTGGTGAACGTTTCCCGTATAATCACACATCATCCTAACTTAATTGGATTCTATATCAACAGAAATTAAATTTCCAGTATTTTGCCCTTTTCTTGCAGTCTTACGGCGTGCGCTTTCACCATGCAATTAAGTAAGTTAATTAAATTTACAAATATACACTTTTCGGAGTAGACACCCAGACGTCAGTTGAAGCATTGTAGTCCACGGAAATTAATATGCTAAACATATTATCCAAACTGCCATATTATTTATGGCCTCCTGCCCAAGGAAAGTTAGCAGCAACGATGCAAACACATATTTCAGGCGAGGATGACCATATTTCAGCCTTGCCGCCTTTTCGGGTTTTCGCAATGCACCTGTGTTGGATGCAGTGACTAGATTTTCGACCTGAAGAGGCGACATGTTTGCTAACGTACCATATAAAAACTGTGTGCTATCATAATTGAGGTGTTACTAAGCCTCACCTCACTCGAACTCTGTTTACGAGAAAAAGAGTCAAAGACAACCACCTCGGCGCCACTAATATCCGAGACGCGGTTGGGCTGTAGCTTGACGGTGAGCGGCGGGGTCTAACGCGGGGGTGTGATCTGGCTTAGAGTTCGGACCAGAAGACTGACGTAGCTATCGGCCCGACTACGTCAGCCTTGGGCCGAACGATGACGGCTGACGTCTTACTATGACCGTCATTCCGATGTGACTCACGGCTTTTTCATAGGTGACCACTTTGTCAGGCTGATGTATACACGCACGCCTGCGAGCGTTGTCACTGCATGTTTATTCAGGAGTCTGCTTAGATCGCAACTAGCTTCAGGGAAGACTGTTCCACAGTTCGACTGTTTATCGCATGTTCCACGGGGTAGACGCAATATTGACGACGTGCGCGCGAATTATCGCCTAATGAGGCAGACTTGCAAACCATCTGGCACACTTCCCCCTGCCTCGACAACTTGTTTTCAGCGACAAGATAGTATAAAAGCGGTCGGAAGTGAGTTTGGGCGCAGTTGGTGAAAAAACCCACCAGTCCGTCTACGCGTGCCGCACACTGGCTGGTCCCACAAATATACCGGGCATTTTGGACTTCTCAGGTGCGAGAATGCTATAGGCGCCACATTAGGAAGGCGGCAATTGAAGTATGACCCTCACTTCTAAGACGGACTGGCTTACACTGTGAACAAACTAGGAAGGCCGCAGCTGGGTTGGCAGACTCCCCAGACAATGAGCCCATCTGAGTGCTCAAATGGGCTACTTGAAATAAGTCCTCAGTGTGGCCATGTGATTGAAATAATGGAGATATTTTGGCAGATTTCGAATAATTCATACTGACCCAACTATGAAAAATTCGGCGCCTTGGTAGGATTTGAGGCCACAACAGCAAAGAAAAGGCTTCATTACAGACAACACTCTAGCTACGAGGCCCCACCGGGAGACGAATTCGAAATCTGCCAAAACATCTGCTAATTACGTGAGCCTGGTAGTCATCTAGCGGGTTCTAGGTGGACTACTTAGGAAATCCTGTTTGCGCAATCACTTAATGTATCAGATTTGGTGGATTCCAACTATAAGCGTGTAAAAACACGGCCGTTACTGATAGATCTTGAAGCTGCGAAGCCTTGTCAAACCGTTTGCCTTAAAGGGTTGCCAAAATGACACAGACATATTAGGGGAAATCCATCGAGATAACAGTTGTAATGCTCGGCCTAAAACAAGGCGTTCATAGGAGAGCTGGGAAGCTGACGTAAACTCCCGACTCCAGGTGGAAAGAAAACTAACAAATAGAAAAAATTGGCCACGTCCTGGCCATTCTAATTTCGTTTTCTTACCTGACGACAAAAGGCCTTCGCAGTGGCGGAAGACACCCTGGTTTGCTGCCAGATAATCCCGACGAAAAGTATTAACAATGCGGATTTAAACATTTAAAACTGGAGTATGTATACCAGAAGTCACCTGGAGAATTCTTGGGGCTCATTGATGAGCTGAGCGCCTCACAACTACGTCATTCAACGACCCAAAACCGGTTAATAATGCGTGTGAACTTGTAACAAGTTTCGGGGGTCTCCATGTGGTATATCACTCAGTACCCGTAAGCGTCTGACTCTCTATTTGCAGTTGGGCGCGGTTATTTTGCTGAAGCTGACGGATTCCAGCTCAAATATTCATGTTAACTGGATCAGCTTTCTCACAAGGACAAAGGGAAGGGAAACAGGGAAACTCAGTAATGCCATTCCGTCCGTCTCCCTTGTATTTGTCGACAATCTCAGTCTGCCTATAGTACGCGCCGTTATGCAGCTGCTGGTTGAGCTTGAGAGAGGGCCCCAAGGCACAACGGGACGAGTGAGTTCCGTAACACGACCCGCGACCGCCCTCCTACCATTTTACATACCCGATTGCAACCGACAGGACAGCGAGCCCATACCTCAGTGGTTAGAGGCGTTGGGCTGCTAACCAACAGGTCTCGGGATCGAGCCTCAGGTGTTCCACACTTCGAGTTTGACTATGACTGACTGGCGACGATTATCAAGCCAGAAATATCCATTCCAGTCTCCCTTGTCTTTGTCGGAAATGCTATGCTGCCGATATCACGCGCCGCTGTGCAGCGGAGGCAAGGCTTGAGAGGGAATCTCAAGTCACAACGGAACGAATGAGTTCCATGACACGGTCGGTGAACGCCCCCCTTACTATGCATATTAACTTTCAGACCGAGTGTTAACGGACTTTTCCCGAAGTATTTACTCTACGTTAACACATTAATCCCTGAGAAAATTAAAAAGGCGTCTGACTTTGATCCTGTCATCAGAGCACTGAACAAGGGCAAACTGAGTAGAGTAGATGCTGGACAAGTCCTTCCATCCTTAGCGCTATAATCCTATTCAGGGTCAGTTCACCACTATTTTGGAATTATGACGTTGGTGTTGGTGGTGTTGGTGGTGGTGGTGGTGGAGGAGAAGAAGAAGAAGAAGAAGAAGAAGGAGGAGGAGGAGGAGGAGGAGGAGGAGGAGGAGGAGGAGGAGGAGGAAGGACTCGACGAACGACTAGTAGACTACACATTTGTTCTGTAAGCCTGCGTCGATTCTATGGACGCGACAAAAGTCCCTCTGCATAACACCAGCGGAAGATGGAAAGTGGAAGGCTCTTAGTTAGTCACGACCACAGGCTACAAATTCGAAGCTTTTAGAAAACTTGCGTGATGTTCGACAAAAAAAGTCTCCAAGCCTGATACACCCGAACACGCAGCAGTGCAGTGATCTTTGTGAGATGTCTGCACCTCATGTCTTAAAAATCCAGATGTGTATTCAAAACAAGGCGTTTGGAGACCAAAATTATTGTCAGCGGCCTTTTCTTAATTTGACTGTAATTTCGTCCGGTCCTTGTGAGTGCTCATGCGGCATACATCACGGGCGGAATATTTTCATCAGATTCGTCCGCCTGGGGGACTGTTTTTTATCCGCTTCGAAATGTGAGCCACCATTGACTGACTATTCTTTGCTTCTGTCTTCACAAACGCTTCCTGTCAGTCTGCAGACTACTTAAATCTGGCCTCTATTCAAAGTAGACGATTTACTGATGGCTTTAAACTGTGAAGCTCCCTGCTAACTGGCGAGTAGTAGCCGACCAACTCCATAAATAATTGTAGTCCCCGTGCATTCTTTTGCGTCATCACATTCCTGAACGCTTCAACTCTCCCTAGATCTGGCAAGAGTCCCTCCTCGCTTACCGCAGATGCCATCTAGCATATTTCTCATCGAAGGAACTCACTCTTTTCCGATAGGGGATAGGAGATAGGCGATAGGAGACCAATCGGACCAAAACACTGCGCTCCTTGTGCCACCATTACCTTTACCTGCGACTGTCTCTGACGATGGGTCCGAGTGAGAATCCGAAACGTCAGGCCAATAAATTTCTTGTTCCGGTGATCGCATCTTCTTCTTCTGAGAAGCCACCTTCGTTTTACCTGCCTGAAATGGAGTAGCCCATCTTCAGTATGCTTTTTTAACGTTATTATCTGAAGGGCACTTTTATATTAAAGGAGCGCGGGTAAACGTGTTTCCAGTTTTTTTTAACAACAGACACATAAAAGTCCCTTCGAAATTTCATATTGCGTACACATATCGTAGACTCATGACGTCAGCCGTGTGGTAGCCATAATTGCTCGTTTTTGAAAGCAGTTAGCTGTGCATGAGATTGGCAGTAGGCAACTCACCTCGATCATAAAAAGGAATAATGGGGCTCTGTTTTGCCCCCCAGACTCCTTTTTCTAATCACAACGGGTCGCAAGGTGATCTGGGCTCGAATTTGTGATTAAATGGCCGGTAGGAAATGAGCTTAATTCTACCACGCGATTGGGATATGGATAGCTCTTTGCATATGTTTTGCTACGTGGTTCGATCATACACCTCCGCTTTAGCCAGGCTTGTACTGTTCTCCGCCTCTTAATATGGATCCATTTGAAGAACACTGTGCCTGCTATCCTGGGACTTTAATGTTTACTGGGCACAACCAGATCGCTTGAAGTCCTGTGCCAAGCGTATGAAGAAGATGACATGCTTTAAACAGCGTCTTTGTGGTGCTGAGGGTGTTTTAAAGAGGGCTGGTTTCAGCCCATGAAGACAGATAGCTGAAATTGTTTTAAGTTTGAAAAGTATTAAACCTCCCTTTCTTAAACCGACATTCAGCAAGACAACGGCCCAATGGCTATCTCAAACAGTGGATAATGATACCGTGCTTGTGTTTGTCTCGTAAACTCTCATCGAAACTTACTTTTGTGTTCAATGACACGCAATTGCAGTGGGGCCGAAACTCGTGAAAAGTCTATATGCTCTGATGGGAAAACTGGTCAACTAAGGCCGCGAAAACCGACTTACATAAAAGATGCTCTAAAGTAAATTCCCGGGCGATGAAGTGTTAACTTCCAGTTGAGCGTATATTCAGCTTAATGTTCAAATGTCACTTGCGGAGGCTGTGGTTTTTAACCTACTATTAATGCTCATTTAAAACAATGCATATTTTTTGTTAAACTAATATATAACTACCCTCCCATCCCATGCGATCAACCCCCATGCCTCGTTGTAGCCATGAACGCGGCAACTGTCAAAGTTGATCTAATCCCTTGGTAGAATGTTGTGTACAAGTACTGGGATAATAATACCGATAGAACCAATCCACAGTAATGTTGCGGTCTTCATTAAACCATGAATAGTTTAGGTATTGGGCCTTGCCCGTATAACTATATGTTCTCATGATTAAATTGCATGTAAATCAACAGATACAAATCTATACTGTGCACACTCCCATCTGGCAAGTGAACAAAGTAAGCGTACTTTCAAATATATCCTCTCCAGGGTGGACATTCAGCTGAATCATTGCAGTCCGTCAAAATTAATATGATATATAGATTGTCGATAGCATCACATCTGAGATCGATAATAGTTCGACTGTCCCATACGACGGTGCCCACCGTGTGCTCCATGGCAAATTGAAGCAAGCACAGTGACTTGCGTGTGGATTGATTTATAGTGATAGTAGACTTGCGCAGCATCTACCGCACTCTGTTCTCCTCCCCACCTGGACTCAATGTCAAGAAAGAGTCAAGAAGGCTGGAGGCGGTGGAGAGGGCAGGTGGGCAGCGCGGCCGAACCTGGACCTTGGCGCTCCGATCCACACCCCTGGTCCACAGAAAGTATCTGACCAGGATATTGGCCAACGACAGCAACAACAACAACAACAGCAACAGAAAGGGCGTAGATTACTGGGTGGTTAGACACACGACCTGTATAGAAGATGAAAATGCGATCACAGGAACAAGAAATTTATTGGCCTGACGTTTCGGATTCTCACTCGAATCCATCATCAGAGACATTCGCAGATAAAGGTGATGATGGCACCAGGAGTGCAGTATTTATATCACATGGCTGCCGTGGGACCGTATGCGCACTGCAATTAACAGTTCAAAACTGCAATTAATCAACAAACACAATGACCTCCCGGTACCCTATTCCGTACTGCGATCTTTCCTGGGCAGGAGAATCAGTCACGTGGGGAGGGCGAGCAATCACCACGTTGACAGTGAGCCAGTTTGCCGAGCAATCGTCACACCAGCATCCAGCAGGGATGGCGAAATCGCGGCCATTAACGGCTCGGACTCGGACCGACAAGCCGCCACCGCATCAATTACGACCCCAGCGGTGATTGTGAGAGCTGTTAATTTCAGTGCGCATACGGTCCCACGGTAGCCATGTGCTATAAATACTGCACTCCTGGTGTCACCATCACCTTTATCTGCGAATATCTCTGATGACGGATTAGAGTGAGAATCCGAAACGTCAGGCAAATAAATGTACTGTTCCAGTGATCGCATCTTCATCTTCTGAACTGCTACCTGGAGCTCGCCTGTTGGCTTCTATCAACACGACCTGAATACCCAGCGGGAGAGCAAGCACATCTACTGCCAGAGAACCAGGTACCGGAGCAGTGTCGACACACACCAGGCTGCGAGAGTTGTGGTTTGCTGACCATGGCATAACACACGCTCACAAACCTTGGGGCCCAAGAGGTCGATAACCCGATGCTGAAATCAACCAAACGAAAGAGGATCACCTCCATTTAAGCAGGGCGGTGGATAAGCATATTTCCCATTTGCAAGTCACAATTAATTCATGTTTCCGTGCCTTTTGTGATAAATTACCTCCTGTTTGCACTCAGTGCTTACAGAAATGTATTGTTGAATTTTTAAAAGATTACGATCATGGTAATTTATGGGACGTTCGCATGATTCTCGGGGCAATTCACTATAGCCAGGGTTATTAATGCAGTTTTCAAAATATACAACGGGATCACCGTCAGTTTATGAAGATTTTATGAACACCAGAATGTCTCTTCGGAGGGACACGAAGGGTCGTATGTATTGATTTCAATTAAAACACTGGACGTTTATGTTGCTTCACGATATACTTGAATTTGTCATCTTGTACAACTTATTTGCCCTACATTTCCATTCACCGAATTCAAAGTCGAAGTGATTTCTCGACGAAAGAGCAGACGAAGTTATTAAGCATCTAATACTGACAGATTTGCGATACTCGCAGCCAAAAGCTCAGAACCAGGTCTCACCTTCTGCAGCGAGCATTATAAATCAGTATTTGCATACTGCTGACTGCTGGTGGAAATATTGTGGACATTTCTCTGTCATTCCGCCTGCGCTGATGAGTTTCAGCGCAGAAGGTGCATACATAGTATGTACATAAGAAAGCCCCCGACTAAGAGAAGGGATGACTATTTCTGTCTTATTAGCTGTCGTCGGCCAGACTTAACGAAACCCAGTCTTGTTTCTGCGAGGCCTCAAACCTGCGTTTTTTGGCCATCCGGCGTTAATAAGTCCAACACTGCGAATTTACGCACGAGTCTGTTGTCCTGCCGGTTGTAATCGGGAAAATGGAGTTTTGTTGGGAGTGCACTCCACGATCGGGCTGGGAGATATCCGCGCCCCGTTTCGACTTGGCGCTCCATCTTTAGACACCCAGCGACTAATAAAGCAGTTTCTCGCAGGAGATGTGATAAAATCTCTGCTTTCATTAGGAATGTGGATGAAGGTGCATCCAGGTAAGTTATGATCTTTAACGAGAAAAAAATACTCGGCTAAATGCCAGAATGCCACGTTTGTTGAGCCTATTGAGGTTACATTATGTCCTACTGTTCTCTCAAGCGGCATTTTGGTAGTATCTCGTTGTTCAAAGTGCTGTTAACAACTTCAGTTGATGTTTCATAGATCGCGTAAACGGTTCGATGCATTTGGTGATAATAATAATAAGCGGAATCCCCCATGTGGCAGTTGTCCTCGGCAGCCCTTCATGATGTAAGACTTAGGTCCTGCGTATCGGCTCACATACAGTCAGGAATACCACTGGCCAGAAGCCAGTGAGAGGGGTGTATGCTGAGCGGCTAGTCGAAAATTTGACGTCATCAGGGGTTTTCTTCGAGGATTTGTCGGCTAAACGCATTTTATAGACCATCTTCGTCAACGTGTCGCATCTTCACTTCAGTCCAGTTGGTGCTGACTGACAGAGAAGAGCAAGAAACCGCTGTAGTCTCGTTCTGGCCCCTGGTCACGTGGGCATCCTACCAAACCACCGCAACCACCATCACCAGCACCACTACCACTGCTGCTGCTGCTGCTGCTGCTGCTGCTGCTGCTGCTGCTGCTGCTACTACTACTACTACTACTACTACTACTACTACTACTACTACTACTACTACTACTACTACTACTACTACTACTACTACTACTACTACTACTACTACTACTACTACCATCACCACCATCACCACATTGAAACTTGAAAGGGGTTAGTATCTAATGAATTAGAATTTTTGAAACGACCTCAAATTAAGCATTTTCCTACAAGCGCCACAAAGGTTTTGAGAGTGAACCGTCTCTTAAACTCATATTCGCACTTACGGTGAAGGAGAGCGGAGGATGAAGGCAGTTAAAGCAAGGGTCACAAGTGGCTGATAGTACCTTCCAAGGAAGAAGAGGAGGAGGAGGAGGAGGAGGAGGAGGAGGAGGAGGAGGATTGCTAGTGGCCCACTTGCCGAGACCGCGAGAGGGTGGCCCAGCTTATCAAGCTCCTTTCTTCCGCCACTGAGTCATTTACCCAATCTTGTCAGTGCAATTCCGTTAATGCAGCCTCATTTAAATATAATTTGACGCTGTGCCACAAAGGTTTTGAGAGTGAACCGTCTCTTAAACTCATATTCTCACTTACGGTGAAGGAGAGCGGAGGATGACGGCAGTTAAAGCAAGGGTCACAAGTGGCTCATAGTACCTTCCAAGGAAGAGGAGGAGGAGGAGGAGGAGGAGGAGGAGGAGGAGGAGGAGGAGGATTGCTAGTGGCCCACTTGCCGAGACCGCGAGAGGGTGGCCCAGTTATCAAGCTCCTTTCTTCCGTCACTGAGTCATTCACCCACTCTTGTCAGTGCAATTCCGTTAATGCAGCCTCATTTAAATATAATTTGACGCTGTGCCAATCTGCTGTCCGTTGTCACAAGAAGCCGCAGAGAAGTCAGAGGGAGAGATGGCGACTGGTGCCGGTCCTGCACGGCGAGAAGTGGCAGAGGCTGGCGTAAAGGACATGCAATATTAGTGGTACACAAAGAAGGAAAAGATACAGATGGAACATGGAGAAGTTAGAGTAAGGAGGGCGAAGTCGAGGCGGAGAAAAGGATGAGACTAGTGAGAAGCACGAACTGATAATGGAAAGAAAGGGGATGGGTAGTAGTAGTAGTAGTAGTAGTAGTAGTAGTAGTAGTAGTAGTAGTAGTATTAATATTAGTAGTAGCAGTAATAGTAGTAGTAATAGTAGCAGTAGTAGTATGAGGAGGAGGAGGAGGAGGAGGAGGAGGAGGAGGAGGAGGAGGAAAACCGCAGGAATGATAACGACAAGCGAGAAGACGTAGATAAGGATTCGTTTGGCGCTTCGGGAACTCATATTTAGTTCAAGGGCGTGTGCTCCGGTAGCCTTAGGTATAGCGATGGGGTCGGGAGTGCGGTTTTTCATCGAGGATCTTCATGGAGTCCCATATCGTCGAAGAAGTATATTCGAAGGCTGAACGTCCTTGGACAGTGTGGGCTGGTGAATACGGCTCGATGAGCGAATGCCTGGGTTTCTGACGCTGCTTGGCTGGTCCTAGTTGTATTGACGAACAGCTGGCCGACCGGGCCGATGCGCGATTCAGAGGTGCTGTGACAGAAGGCACAGGGTGGAAGGCTAACAGCTGAGTTGGTCGTGTTGGCGACGATGATGACTGTTTGACGTTGTCAACGGTGGGAACGCTTAGAGTGAGGGAGTAATGCTGGAGCTGGAGACACTTTTGATGGAGGATGTGGTGTAGTTGTGGTGACGCTATGATGAATCTCATCGTTGTAAATGCTCAAATGCCGAGACGGCTGACTGTGTGGTTTCTAAACAACCGAAAGGTAGGAACAAATTATGAGCGATCGCCGGAACGCGAGCTTTTTACACATACGGTCTCGGATTCATGTTTGAACCCCTCATCGTCAAAGGCAGCATCAGACGTGAATAGTTCATGCTCAAGGCTTTATGGTACTTACGAGATGGAGTCGTTGTGTTACCGCATACCTACAAAAATTACCAACTCCCCGTTCATCGAAGACAGTCGTTTTAGTGCGACAATTGCCTGACGGTTGGTATAAGAGACGCCAGTCGTTGTCAATTTCATCATTTATGTTGGTTATTGGCTTGATGAGTACTCGGCCACCTGGCTCACCGGTACTAACGATGTAAACAATGTTCTCCAGTGCGCTCTCCGCTCGGCTAATTACTCTCCCCAGGCTACGTATCAGCACCGAATACGGAAGCGGGAGGTCGTTGAATTTGTTGTCAGACTGGGGGCTGGTGAACCATGATTCAAGCAGATCGCGGCTCACGCGACTGCCACCTCTCTCGAGAATTCCGGCCCCATGGAACTTGAATGCGCGGTAGGGTCCCGCCGAATGAGCCACCATCTGTGAGCTGGCGTCATTTCACCGCATTGGTGTCCGCCCGTTCGCCCACTCGCGCCCACAGCGGTTATACAGTCTCTCCGACATGTTTGTCTTGCCCCCAATTACACCAGATCCGGCAAATGGCTCCAGACGTTTCTAGCTGTAGCAGTGTGTCTTTTGGTGTCATTACCTGGTGCCCAATGGTTGCCTCCTATCTGCGTGCCACTCCAAATGCAAGGGATCTCTGAAGACTGCTAACAGCCTCCGAGACTTTCTTGACGTAGCGAAGTCCTCGCTAAGCATTTGGATCGATGCTACTTGCGACTTCAGTCCATTGCACGCCGAAAGCTGAACGTTCACAACAAGCCTATACAACCTTCGTTTGACAACTGCTTTCTGTCAGTTCCAAATCTTACAGACGAGTAAATGATTTACAGCATTGCAGGTTTCTAGAAGACTAGACTGACTCTTAGCGTCCTGAGCTGACAAGTCAACCAAACATCGTCCAGAAGGTCGAGGCAGCGAATGATTGGAAATTTGGCCAGCGAAAGGCCGAATAGCAAGACACGTCACTTCCATTTCGTTTAAGTGCATTTAGCGCTTTGGCAACGGTGATCTTACAAAGCTCTCCAAAACGCCAGCATTCCAACAAACCTATTTCGGCAACGGTAGGTTGGAGGACCCAAAATAGCTGTAAGTATACTGTGGATCGTGTCATGTGAGAATGATGCAAATGAGGGATTTACAGATTGGTCAGCCCGCCGGACAGTAAGCTGACGGCAAACACAGAAGACGGTTGGTGGCCAGAACGATACTTCCGAAATGATGAATGTATGCAATTGGATACGCCACGGCGTGCCATATTGGGATGTCTAGCTCAGTCCTGGCGGACATTTCGGTTATCCCTTAATTCATGGTCGGTTGGTATCCGTTTTTTGTTTCTCTGTCTTCCGGCACAACTGTCAGTCCTCAGACATAACAAGATTTCGTATGTATATGCATCGTCACACGATTCATAGTATTCCGATAGTCAATCGGGGTCCTTCACATTATCGTCGTCCCTGTTCCAGTGAGAACGTCTTATTTCTTAAATTATCAGCCCGGATCCCTCGAGTCTGTCTATCTGAAAATATGATGGTTACGGTCAGAAACATACAGTCCAATTAATTAGAAAATCATATAATAACATATATAATATAATATATATATAATATATCATGATAGTGGGCGCTCGCCGATCAGGTTACGGAACATGCTCGTTCCGTTGTGCCTTGGGGCTCATACTTAAACCCTCGCAGGCAGTCGCACAGCGACTAGTAGTAGATATAGATGAGATGGTACCGACAAAGACAAGGGAGACCGGAATGGCCATTTCTGGCTTATTAGCCGTCATCAGCCAGTCATACCCAACCCCAAGTGTGGATCACTTGAGATTCGAACCCGGGATCTTTGGTCATGGAGTTGAACACTCTACCATTGAGCCACGGGCCCGTTGTCCTGTCGGTTGTGATCGGGAATATTAATTATGATAGTGGGCGCTCGCCGATCAGGTTACGGAACATGCTCGTTCCGTTGTGCCTTGGGGCTCATACTTAAACCCTCGCAGGCAGTCGCACAGCGACTAGTAGTAGATATAGAGCGCCCACTATCATAATTAATATTCCCGATCACAACCGACAGGACAACGGGCCCGTGGCTCAATGGTAGATTGTTCAACTCCATGACCAAAGATCCCCGGTTCGAATCTCAAGTGATCCACACTTGGGGTTGGGTATGACTGGCTGATGACGGCTAATAAGCCAGAAATGGCCATTCCGGTCTCCCTTGTCTTTGTCGGTACCATCTCATATAATATATCATATAATATAACAAGATGATGACGGCGGGGCAAAACGAGTGAGCAACTTAAAAGATAAGGGAAAATTTAGATTCGCCAAATGATCTTCTATGCACAGGCGCGATATGTCTCTCCCCAGGTAGGCTTTTCCACTAGACACCGAACGACGGAATAAGTTTGCAATCTAACAAGCGATGAATCGCTCAAATCAGTGCGTAAACAGGTTTGGTTCGTGTGCACATTGTGAGGGAGTGGATCCGACAGACGGCAAGCATTGATGTGACGTTTTATGCCGAGATACGGGCAGAGCGACAGATAAAGTCAGTCCGTGCAGGTAGGTGTGAGAGGCAGGGGCATGTGAATCTCGGTTCTGATGAGTTAGTCATTGAGGAGATGCACTGTAATCTGCACTGTTTCCCACTTAAAAGTCTCATCGGTATCGGAGGGGAAGTATGTTAGGCGCCTGTACACGGATCATCAGGGATTATTCAGGTGGACAGAAGGAGGATAATTCGGGAGTTGGAGGAATTAAATCCACAGCCGTGTCAGTTGTAACGTTTCGGAATCGAGGGGTAACTTCACGTCAACATCCGTCCTGCTTAATGGCGAGCTGTGGCCAGATGCGTTTTTCTTCATCTGAGGAATCGTGTGGTGATAACGCCAGGTTGTTGTTGACTCGAACCACACGGTACTGGAACACACTGGGCTTATGCCTGACTAAGGCCAAATTTTGTTGTTTGCGTAGGTATTTCAAAAGACCAAGTTGCCCAAAACACGGCTCTTAACTAACCGACTGCCGTTAAAATTCAACTGGTTGCTTAAACACACGGTCCAGCATCGTGATCCTGACAACTCATTATCTCTTTTCGCAAAGATTTTCTGGAAAGATATATTCTTGGGAGAATTACCGGGCGTTGCTTAAACATTGTCGTTTGCAAGAGTTTACAAGTGTCCACTCTTGCGGTTCGGTTACGCGTTTCCAGAATTTCTGCTCGCCGGGCCAAAGTAGAGTTCAGGGGACGTCTGATGACATGCTAGAAAATGCAAGCTTAGGGGCAACATGGAGGAGGACCAGTGAAGTAGTTAGAGTTCAGGGTGTGATTTGTACGTTCCCTCTCAATCTTGAACGCCGGTATAGACCTCAAGCCGGAGATGGCAGGGAAACTTGAAATTGACAGTTAAGAGTTAGTACCGACGATGCAGACAGCACAGTTGAGCATGGGAATTCGGGCCACTCGTAATACAGATTGTCTTGCTCTAAATCCTCTGGGAACTATAGTCAGGGCAAGGATGAGCGTTACGCTCAGAGTTACGGTAGGACTGCAAACTCAGGAAATGCTGACTGAAATTCTGAAATGCGCTTCCGACGCGAAAATATGACTTAAGTAGGGTTGTAATGTTAACTACCATGCAGCATAATCCCATAAAAATTCAGTTACTCCAGGATGTCAGCCTTTGAACAAACTCCTCTTCGACCGCCTGCAAAAACTACCTTCTGTAAAAAAATGACTACTTAAGTAGCACCAATTTTTCTCGTTATTTTCGATGT